GTGGCCCTAATCCTCTTCCGTACACATTGCTCAGCCCTACTTGATTCCACATGTTTACTGATGATCTGCTCAGCTTTTTGATTGGGGCAGAAAGAATCGCCCACGGCCTCATTTCTATCTGAGCCGCCCCTGACTCCTAATGTAAAGCAGTCACCGGGTTTAAACGGAACTTTGTGAAAATGTTCTTTTCATGCATTCCCTGGCTAAATTACAGATGACTGAGATCCCCCACATGTGTTCATGTGACAGTGAACCGTCCATCCCAGCAGCCCGCAGGCTTTGGTTCCGGACCGACACAAGGAGCGTCTTTCAAACAGCCGCAGCGGGAGTTTATCTCTGGACTTTGGATCCGATCATGTTCTGACAGCAGGAGGGCGCAGAGAGTCCAGGAGCCGCTGGCTGAGCTCCGCACCGATGGATTTCCACAGCCTCTGCTCCTTTGAGTATTTCCAGCAGAGCTGCAGTCAATACGGCTATGAGGGGAACCTGAGCGGCCTGGTGGAGCAGGAGTTCAGCCGAAGCAAAGGTAGAGATGGTCTGAAGCGCTGCTCAGAGGACCGAGGCTGCTGCCTCTGACTAACAGGCCTGTTTTCCTCCATCTAACAGGTCTTGTTTATCTGGATCATGCTGCAGCCACTCTCTACCCGGACTCTCTGCTCAGGGACTATTTCCGGGACATTTCCACCAATCTGTACGGTGAGGAAACAGAAAAAAGTGTTTCGTTTACATGTTATTAGTAAACAGCGCTTCCTGGAAGTGAAATGTGACGCGCAGTGGCGCTTCTAGACCCAATTTACCAGGGGCGACAGTTTTGTTTTTTCATGGGGGCACCAGAGGCGTAGCCATAAATTTTTATAAGGGTGTCCAGGCAATAACCAATGTGCACTGAGGGGTGGCCGAAAGCAGATAGGCTCCAGGGTCAAGCCAGAGATAAGACAAACTATACTTTCCTAAAGCCTTTGATGACAAATAGACACATATATTTAAAGGAAAATTCCGGTTTTTAACACTTTTAGCCCATTTTCTGTAGTGTCCAGGATGAAATCGAATGATCGACACCAAAATTTTGACGATTGGTCCTGTCTCTGCTATTTGGCTCATGCAGAATCCCCCCCTGGCTGCTTCAGAATGGCTTCCATAGTGCATGTCCGATAATGTCCTTAAAACAACCTTAAACGTTCTTTTTTAAAAATATGCTACTCACCGGGTCGTCAGCGCTGTTCAATGACGTTCCAAAAAAAAGTTTCGTGAAGAAAAACCGTTCCTGTCTTGTTTTATTTAGCATTTTGTAAATCCCAGAACTATTTTTTCCGATACATCACAACCGCTTATAAACTTCCGCTTCCCGTTTGAATCTGAAGCGTTGCACACTCCAGACCACTAGTTGGCGACGGTATCCTCTACCGTCAAACTCAAAGTCCAATATGTCCTCCTCAAGAATCCACCTTTCGTATTCCATTTTCAGAGTTTTTAAAGTGTTTAACAGAGACGTTAGCACCTCGACGTCGGAGTACACAGAGTGAGTAGCATATTTTAAAAAAAGAACGTTTAAGGTTGTTTTAAGGACATTATCGGACATGCACTATGGAAGCCATTCTGAAGCAGCCAGGGGGGGATTCTGCATGAGCCAAATAGCAGAGACAGGACCAATCGTCAAAATTTTGGTGTCGATCATTCGATTTCATCCTGGACACTACAGAAAATGGGCTAAAAGTGTTAAAAACCGGAATTTTCCTTTAAACATCCGTGTGAGAGCCAATTTAAGACAAATTCATTTATAGTTTTAAAAAGGGTTAAAATGCAAGATTATAATTAAATTTAAAAAACTCTAATATTAAAAGCATAGAATATAGAAATGCAATTTGAAATGCATATTGCTGTAATTGTATACGTGTTTTTTTTTTTTTTGTTTTTTTTTTGGTCATTTTTATTCAAACATGATATTTTTCCACGTTTTTTGATTTTAATCAGGTTGGAAGTTGTGTTCAACCAATCTTTTGACTAAAACCGACCTAATTTACCCAATCTATATTTTTACTCGGGCAAAACAATAAAAATTAGTCTCATCAGCCAAAATAATTAAGTTTAACCGCAACTTTCCAAAGTCAAAGACAGGCGTTGAACCAGCGACCTCTAGCATGAGGGTATGAGTGTTACAACTGACGCCACTTATACAGTGAACCATTTTATGGAGAAAATACTACTTAATAGTGACGTGTTCACACTGATTTTGTCCAGTGACTTGCTCACATTTTGATCATTACATTGTTTATTCTGACCAAAATAGTTTTAAGCAACTAGATTGGTTGTTTTTATCCAGCTGAGAGCATCTCTGCTCCAAACTCCATCATTTTGACTGAACACTGAGGCTGTGTAGATGCCTGTCAAAATTCTTTCGCTTCCCGAACCACTTCCCGAAGCGGTCACGTGGTTTCACGGCTTCTGACATCATCAATTTTGGCCCCTCCCCTAAATGAATCACGCCTTGACACTCGCTTCGGGGGAAACGCCCCCTCCATTACTCGACACATGCCTCGAAGCCTCGGCTCGTCTCATAACATCACTAGGACAAACCTGTCTGCTGTATTCCTTGTTTTTTGTCTTTATTGTTCTCCAAAGAACATCTAGAACAACAGGATTTATACACTGCAAAAAATTGAAATCTAAATAAGTCATATTTTCTTGCAATAAGTGCATTTGTTCTTGAATTGAGGAGGTAATTGAGACACTTTGCCAATGGAACAAGACAATTTTCATTTAAAATAAGAAAACACAAATGCATTGTCTTATTTCAAGTGAAAATGATCTAATTATCTTATTTTTAGACTAAAAATACTCATTCCATTGGCAAATTATCTTATTTACCTATTCAAATGAATGGTAAATACACTTAATTTAAGTCATTTGTTTCTCATTTTTAGATACTTTTTTGCAGTGTACTGAGATTATCCTACACACACACATGTGGTCTGTATTAATTAGGAATATTTATTATTGGGGTAAAAGAATAAAAAATTCAAACCTATTATTTTTTTGATACGCTTCACAGTTTGAAAGCTTGTGGTTCAAAGCGGCCTGTAATTCTTGATTTCTTTTTTGAAACCCTTTGAAGGAACTCTTCTATTAAAACCTTTTTTTCTGTTTTTTAGGAAACCCCCACAGCCACAATCCCAGCAGCAGCTTGACACATGATACCGTGGAGCGGGTCAGAGACAGGTGATGCCTCATGGCGCCATTCCACGACGGCCAAAATATGGCTGTCTTAAAGACTAAAACCTGGTCATTTTCTTGCAGAGTGTTGCAGCATTTCAATACCACCTCCAAAGAATACTCCGTGATCTTCACCTCTGGTTGTACAGCGGCTCTCAAGCTTGTAGCCGAGAGCTTTCCTTGGAGCTCCCCGACTGAGAGGGAAGCTGGGAGCTTCTTCTCTTATCTTACAGACAGCCACACGTCTGTTGTTGGCATTAGAGGACTGACTTCAGCCCTGGGGGTAGTTGCCCTGCCTGTCTCCCCACAGGAACTGACAAACAGGGCGAAGGACAGAGTTCAGGGAGAAGATGTTTTCTGCCAAACGCCGCACCTTTTCTGCTACCCGGCACAGAGCAACTTCTCAGGGAGGAAGTATCCTCTTAGCCATGTGAGAGGCATCCAGGCGAGACGCCTTTACCCAGCGTGCGACCGCCCAGGCCGCTGGTTTGTGCTGCTCGATGCAGCTTCGCACGTCAGCTGTTCCCCTCTAAACCTGCATGACTGCCCTGCTGATTTCATTCCCATTTCCTTCTACAAGATATTTGGCTTCCCAACAGGTTTGGGGGCCCTTCTTGTTCGTAACGAGGCAGCAGGAATACTAAAAAAGTCTTATTTCGGAGGAGGCACAGCAGCAGCTTACCTTTCTAGAGAGGATTATTATGTGCAGGCAGAAAACATTTCTGACAGGTAAAGCCTTGTTAAATCCAATAAAATCCTCCTGATTCTGTTTTTTTTATCTGAACTGCACCGTGTCTTATTTTCATAATAAAGATTTGAAGACGGTACGGCCTCCTTCTTGGATATTATTGCTTTAAACCATGCATTTGAATCTCTTTACCGGATGACAGGTATGATTCGTTTTAAAATGTCTTTTATATGCAGTTTAATCATAAAAGGAACCTGCACTGGGGTAACACCAAAACTGTTATCGTCTTTATCTGTTTCCGCCTGCAGGCGGCATGCACAACATCCAGCAGCACACTTTTGGCTTGGCACGTTACACTTACATGCTGCTCTCAAGTCTTTGCCATGGCAACGGTAGACCAGTAGCGCGGATATACACCGAGGGCCAGTTTGAGAGTCCAATCACTCAGGGAGCAATCCTGAACTTCAACCTCCTGGATTCTAGCGGGCAGATAATTGGATACTCTCAGGTACATGGGATTGAGGGGATTCATTTCATATTTTAATTGCTTAATGAATTCATGTTTATGCGTAGGAAGGTCTGGTAAAACGCCGCAGCGGTCCTCTCTTTGCTCTCCTCCGTAGGTAGACAGAATGGCCTGTTTGTACAATATTCATGTGCGAACAGGTTGCTTCTGCAACACCGGGGCCTGTCAGGCCTTCCTTGGGATCACTGACCAGCAAATGAAGAGAAACCTTAAGGTAGGAAACTGCAGAGTTCTAATAATTATCATGTATATTTTAGTCTTTTGGCCAAACAGCACAAATCAGCCAAAAAA